ATTTCGCATATGAGAAGAAATATTTTGGATTTTTCTTTATTTCCTGAATTGCTTTCTGTTCTAACTGCCTTTCTTCAGTTTCATATGAGTGTTTCAATTTCCGCTCGATTTCTTCAATCTCCCTATTTAAATTATTCCTTCTTTGACGGGAAATTCGTGTCTGCATAAGCAGTTCCGTTATTTTTTTCCTGCGTTTATAGTGTCGTCTGCGTTCTCTTTCTACGTTAGATCTCTTTCTGGCTTTCCTCAAAGGAACATGTTTCAGACAGACTTGATACGCTTCTGAAGTCAGTTTTTCTATTCCTTCTGTATTACTTGTATTACTTAGAACAGTTCCCCATGGAATGTTTGTAAGTTCCCTGTTTATTATCTCCCAGTCTATCCTTTTATTATTAAATTGAATTTACTGAATAGCCCCTCTCGCTTTATCAACGTTTTAGGTCTCTTCTGAGTATTGATGGTCGTTTGCACTTCAAGGAGTTTGTGATCTGAGTATGTGGTATCTGATATCGTAATGTCTCTGATAATGTCTTCATTGTTCGTAAAGACCAGATCTAGAATATTTTCATTTCTCGTTGGCTCCGATATCTGCTGATTGAGTGAAAATTTGTCACAGAATCTAAGTAGTTCTCTAATCTGTGGTTGGTTAGGTCCTGATAGATTTCCTGGTATAATATTATTGTTTGCTATTTTCCACCTGAGACTAGGCAAGTTGAAGTCACCTAGGAAAATAATATCAGGTATCGGGTTCTCCAAATTATCAAGGCTATTCTCTATTTTGCTTATCTGTTCTGTGAATTCCTCAGCCGTTGCATCTGGCGGTTTGTATATTAGTATAATCACTAAATTTATTTTCTCAATTTTTAATCCCAGTACCTCTACCACCTCATTTGTAACGTTTAGGAGCTCCGAGCATACAAGGTCTTCCCTAATATACAGACCCACTCCTCCATGTGACCTAATTTTCCTATCACACCTGTATAGGTTATATCCTGGAATCCAGATCTCACTGTCCAACAATTCCCCTGCATGGGTTTCTGTGAAAGCTCCAATTACTGCATTTGACTCCGTGAGGAGGCCATTTATGAACTGTACTTTGTTGTTTGTTCTTGTTTTCAGTCCTTGTATGTTGGCAAAGATGAATGAGGTTACTCTATTAGTGATAGTTTGAATGGGAGACTTTTTCGGCACGTCCATTAATCGTGGACATAATGAGTTTGTTCTGACCAGTACTGATTGTTGTAGGGCAGTTTTCTGTCGTAGTTGTAGTTCCCTTTCGGTGGGTAATTGTATCTGTAATTTTGGAATGCCAGTGGATCTGGCATCCAGTTCCATACATTCTCCCTGCTGCTCCTTTTGAATTCTCTGCCGGTCTGGTATAAAAAAATTTATAGAGTTTCCTCCAAATTCATTATCCTGCTTGCCACTCTTTATGTAGCGTTCCGTGCCTTTCACGTGAAAGTGTGGGCAGCTAAGGTCATAGCATTTTCTGTCCTCCAGTGAGGTTTGGCACATGTCAGGATGGAAAAACCTACATATTGATCCAAATCGACACTCACCTTTCCTAAGCATATTTAAACATTTTTTGGGATGTTGGTAACTGCATTCTAATCCTTTCTTATTACCAGCATATCTATGTCTGCATATGCCCTTTGCATAAAATTTGCATAAGTCTGTCCTTCTGTTCTGAATTGCTCTATCGAGAACCGTCGTGGTGTCTGTACCTATCGAGCTGTCAGTGCTGTCTGGTACACTTTCTAGTTTACTGTCATCTACATCCTGGCCTACTGAGTCAGAGTTTGCAACTTCCTGAGTTTCAGCCTCAGTTTCATCCCTGACTATAGCCTCCGCCCCTTGTATATTAGAATTGTTGTTCCTTTCCCACTCCTTCTGGATGGCTGGTAGGCTTCCAATGAATGATGTTTTCCGTTCATGCGTCATGTTATCTAGAAGGTTTTTTAGGATATTCCAAGCTGGCAGGTCATTTTTACACACCCAGAGCAAGTGGCCATCTCTCAGTGCCGTAGTGTTACTCACTCCTGTACAAGCCGAATGGAATCTAGTCTTACAGATATAACATTCAATTCCCGTTACCTTCGTCTTTAAGAAGTTGTTACAGTGGCCACAAATTTGTTTATTTACTCCCATATTGCCTTGTTTTGTTGTATATATCTATATATTTATAATATTATATGTATATTGTATATTTGTAACAATATATATGTATATATATTTATATGTTTAATATTATAATATTATATGTATATCGTATATTTGTAATATTATGTGCGTTATTTTGTTCAAACTTTATGGCAGGTACTTAGCGTAGGTAGCGAGGCTGGTCCCCCGGTCAGTACAGGTGACCTCTTGTGGCCCAGGTTGATGTCACCAGTTTCCAGTTACCCGATTTATAACCACTGATGCCGCCTCTTGCCACTATTCTATATTTCTAGTGTTCTATATTTATAATATTCACTTCCAACTTATATGTTGTTGTGATACCCGTTCCACATCACTGTTCCACGAATCACCGTTCACTATTTTTTTTTTGTTTCGTTTTTTTTATCCTAATACACGCATGTACACAAAGCCTCGTTCACTGACTCACACGTGGTCTCCCGTTTATTCTCTATTTAACACAAAGTTCTATTGTTAATGACTATTTTCAATTTTCCAGCGGTCACTATGCACTTTGTTATGTCTGTAATCAGTAGTCCACGGCAGTAGTCCTACGAATCCCTGTTAATGTCACGATTTTAACGGAGCGCGCACGGTACGTCTACCCCCTCCCTCGACCTCGACTCGATACGTCTAACCAGGGTCGTGGTGACCTGTCTGCGTCTGTTAGGGGTTCGGGTTCTGGTCTACCTCGATGACTGGCTGATGTGGGCTCCCAGCCGGTCTGCTTGTCTGCTCACCAGGGGTGTGGTTCTTTCCCAGCTCATTGGGTTCGGGATCCTGGTGAGCCGGCAGAAGTCCCATCTGGTTCCATCCCGGGTTCGAACCTGGCTGCGTATTGTTTGGGACTCTCGGATTACTTTCATGTCTCTCCCTCCAGAGGCGTTGGTGTGGCTGCTGTCCTGCCTTCAGCTGTTTTGGAGGGGTTCCCAGGTCATTCAGCAGTTGCTCGACCAGTTGTATGGGAGTCTGAACTCCGCTGTGCTGGTCTACCTGCTGGGTTGAGTTTGGCCTCGGCACCTGTTCAGGTTCCTTCGGCGACACCCCCCCCCCCCTCTCTCTCTCTCTCTCTCTCTCTCTCTCTCTCTCTCTCTCTCTCTCTCTCTCTCTCTCTCTCTCTCTCTCTCTCTCTCTCTCTCTCTCTCTCTCTCTCTCTCTCTCTCTCTCTCTCTCTCTCTCTCTCTCTCTCTCTCTCTTCTCTCTCTCTCTCTCTCTCTCTCTCCCTCTCTCTCTCTCTCTCTCTCTCTCTCTCTCTCTCTCCTCTCTCTCTCTCTCTCTCTCTCTCTCTCTCTCGTGTGATATCTCGTGTGATATCTCGTGCGATATCTCGTGTGATATCTCGTGCGATATCTCGTGATCTCTCGTGATCTCTGGATTCGGCCACCAGGCGACTTTTGTCGGTTGCTGCGTCGCTGGTTTTTTTGGCGTTCTGTGCCTTGGCGCCAACCCAAACACCTCGCTCGATGTGTTTTCACGGATGCGTCGTGTCTCGGCTGGGGGTTTGTGACCTGTGCTCGCCACGCCAGCCAGGGGCGGTGGTATCCGTCCTTCCGGCTCCATTTGAACTTTTCTCTGGTGATCTATTGTCACCTGGGAAATATCGATGATAATGGCGGGACGCCTCCGGCTGTTCTTATGGTGGGATCGCCCGGCGGTTGCTCGTGCGGCTGTGCAGGAATTGAGCTTGGCCAGGCTAGTTACCCCCTGCTTGTTCGCTTTTGGGCAGATACTTCTGATGTTGCAGGTGGATTCCTGAATGGTGTCTCTAGGCTTTGTTGTGCGACATCAGGCTTACATTTGGGTTTACCAGTTTGGCTTGAATCTGGCTCTCTTGGACATTCACAATATTGACTCAAGGTGCTTTGTCACCTTCATTTGTTGGTGGTTCATGTCTTAGTCTTTCTCAACAACTGGCAGGTTTGGATTCCCAGTCAGGGATCTGGTTCTTTCCTTACTCACCAAGTTTGGGTTTCTGGGAGATTGGCAAAAGTCCCATTTGGTTCCACTGCAGATTTGAACCTGATCTGGGATCCCTGGTTGGCTTCCCACTTCCTTCCACTTGTGGCTCTGCAACACCTGGATGTGCCTTTTCAGATAATGGAGGAGATGGTACACTTTGCCTGCATTGTTTTTTCCTCATGAGGAGGGATTAGCTCTAGGCTCTTTACTGTTTTCTTTGGTTCCATCATTGGGTGTAGACTCCGAAGGCCCTTCAGCAACTTCTGGTTCACCAGTTTTTAATTTTCAAGTTTTCTGGAGGCTCTGTCCCATGGGACCTTCCTCCTTGGCTCACTTATTTCTTCGTGGATGCCTTGCCTTGGGTTGGGTTTTTGTGACCAGTCCTCACCAGAGCACTCAGAGACATTGGGTGGGTCCTTAGCTTTGAGCACATAGCATGGTGCACAAATTTGTGGTGGTTTGGCACACTTTGCATTAGTTTCGTCTTCTGGTGGGCTTTGTTATCTGGCTCCAGTCCATCTGGCCCAATGGTTTATTGTCTGAATCGAGGGGGGTTGATAGGCCCTTCAGTTTTTTCCATTGTGGGGCTAGACTGTGCAAGTGGCTCAACATTGGGATTCGGCTTTCTGTGCAGTTGACATTCAAGTATGTCCAGTAACAGCAGCAATAGGGAACCACTAATGGACTCCCCCCAGAAAATTACATAAATAATTATGCAGAAGTGTCAGAGATTAATTGCTATGAGTTTTATGCAAATCAGTATATAATACATTTTGCAATATGTACAAATATTTAAAACTATACAGTATATATTTTTTCAGATAGCATTGCCGCTCATTTGATTATCAATGTTTTATTTTCAGTGGCTGAAGAGTGCCTTGATGTGCTGATCACTAGACAAGACGTGCAGAATCCACCCTATTGGTTAACTTGCCAATTTTAGCTGCTACTTGTTTGTTCAGTACATGCACATGGATGCAAATTAGCATTGCAGCAGGCAATATTAATATCTACAGGCCATCTGAATTATATTTCAAATATGGGATCCTGTAGCACAGTGGTCTATGTCCACAGCTCACAATCCACTGACTCAGATTCAACCCGCAGTCAGACCAAAAATAACTGGCCACTTTTACTTTCATGTAATGGATCTGTTCACCTAGCAGAGTGGGTGAATATTTACAAAATAGTTACACAGGAGTTAGACAACTGTTGTGAGTTGCATCTAGTGTAAGATCAGTAGTGTTGGGAGTCAATAAACCTAATGTGCTTCCTGTCTCGACAACTGAAATTAAATGTTGTCAAGAACTGCTTCATTCAAAGTCATATTGAACACCAAAATTTTGGTTTTAAGAAGCTTTAATGTCATACTTGTAAATATATGCACTTGATTAATTTTATGTACGCTATTAGTAAAAATGAAAAAAATTGATACAGCTCAAAAGAAAATTCAAGATATGGGAGTTGTGGAATGATTTGCAGTACATAAGCAAGTTTTTTAAAATGGAAGTTTTCACTACTGTTATCACCTTATATGTTACATAATCCGCATTACTACTCCATTACACGACCAATAGCGGAACAAATTGCTTTGTTTATGGTGTGATTGTAGGCTTCTCTGTTCATACTAGTGTTTGGTAAATGTTATAGCAGCCACAACTCCTACATAACCTGAGTGATGTTTTGGATAAATATAGTACAGTACTGTACAGTAGTGTACACTACTGTACAGTACTGTACAGTACTGTACAGTACTGTACAGTACTGTACAGTACTGTACACTACTGTACAGTACTGTACAGTAGTGTACAGTAGTGTACAGTGGTGTACAGTAGTGTACAGTAGTGTACAGTGGTGTACAGTAGTGTACAGTAGTGTACAGTGGTGTACAGTAGTGTACAGTGGTGTACAGTGGTGTACAGTAGTGTACAGTGGTGTACAGTAGTGTACAGTAGTGTACAGTAGTGTACAGTGGTGTACAGTAGTGTACAGTACTGTACACTACTGTACAGTAGTGTACAGTACTGTACAGTAGTGTACAGTACTGTACAGTAGTGTACAGTACTGTACAGTACTGTACAGTAGTGTACAGTACTGTACAGTACTGTACAGTAGTGTACAGTACTGTACAGTAGTGTACAGTACTGTACAGTAGTGTACAGTACTGTACAGTAGTGTACAGTACTGTACAGTAGTGTACAGTAGTGTACAGTACTGTACAGTACTGTACAGTAGTGTACAGTAGTGTACAGTAGTGTACAGTAGTGTACAGTAGTGTACAGTACTGTACAGTACAGTACAGTACTGTACAGTACTGTACAGTAGTGTACAGTACTGTACAGTACTGTACAGTAGTGTACAGTACTGTACAGTAGTGTACAGTACTGTACAGTAGTGTACAGTACTGTACAGTAGTGTACAGTACTGTACAGTACTGTACAGTACTGTACAGTAGTGTACAGTACTGTACAGTAGTGTACAGTACTGTACAGTAGTGTACAGTACTGTACAGTAGTGTACAGTACTGTACAGTAGTGTACAGTACTGTACAGTAGTGTATTGTACTGTATTATGGTTGTAAAAGTTGCTTAAGTACCGATATTTACCCTTGCTCATTACAATACCTTGTTTCCTTGATCTGTATTATACTGGTACTGTGGTTCCATTGGTGCTTAATAGTTCCAATGGCACTTTGTGGTTTCACCAGTGTTGTGAAGTTCTACTGGTGTTCCACTGGAACTTTGTGGTTCCACCAGTGTTGTGAAGTTCCACTGGTGTTCCACTGGAACTTTGTGGTTCCACCAGTGTTGTGAAGTTCCACTGGTGTTCCACTGGAACTTTGTGGTTCTACCAGTGTTGTGAAGTTCCACTGGTGCTCCACTGGCACTTTGTGGTCCCACTGGTGGTATGTAGTTCCACTTGTGCTTAATGGCTCTACTAGCACTGTATGGATCCACTGGTGCCTAATGCTTCCACTGGTGCATTATGGTTCCACTGGTAGTGTATGGTTCCACTGGTAGTTTATGGTTCCACTGGTTCATTATAGTTCCAATTGTGTTACATGGTTCCACTGGTGCTTTTTGGTTCCATTCATACTATGTCAATCTTCCACTGGTGCTATGTGGTACTGGTGGTGTTGTGTGGTACTGGTGGTGTTGTGTGGTACTGGTGGTGTTGTGTGGTACTGGTGGTGTTGTGTGGTACTGGTGGTGTTGTGTGGTACTGGTGGTGTTGTATGGTATTGGTGGTGTTGTGTGGTACTGGTGGTGTTGTGTGGTACTGATGGTGTTGTGTGGTACTGGTGGTGTTGTGTGGTACTGGTGGTGTTGTGTGGTACTGATGGTGTTGTGTGGTACTGGTGGTGTTGTGTGGTACTGGTGGTGTTGTGTGGTACTGGTGGTGTTGTGTGGTACTGGTGGTGTTGTGTGGTACTGGTGGTGTTGTGTGGTACTGGTGGTGTTGTGTGGTACTGGTGGTGTTGTGTGGTACTGATGGTGTTGTGTGGTACTGGTGGTGTTGTGTGGTACTGATGGTGTTGTGTGGTACTGGTGGTGTTGTGTGGTACTGGTGGTGTTGTGTGGTACTGGTGGTGTTGTGTGGTACTGGTGGTGTTGTGTGGTACTGGTGGTGTTGTGTGGTACTGGTGGTGTTGTGTGGTACTGGTGGTGTTGTGTGGTACTGGTGGTGTTGTGTGGTACTGGTGGTGTTGTGTGGTACTGGTGGTGTTGTGTGGTACTGATGGTGTTGTGTGGTACTGGTGGTGTTGTCTGGTTCTGATGGTGCAGTGTGGCTCTGACATAGCAATTAAGTGTGCTGTGAAGGAAACATTAAAGCTTGCTCATTGTTATCCATATGTGATGAGTACTAAGATATTTACAAGTGTATGTTGTAAAACACAGTAGTTACGGGGGATACATAATATTAATTAAATAAGTTACTGCTGTATGTAACTTCATATTAAAATATACACCTTGAAGACACTAAGACATGTGATAAAATAACCTTAACAGATTATGTCTGGTAGCAGTTTGTGAACATTTTATGAAAGTTGATCTCAAAATACCATTCTGTGTCGTTTTTCAGTCATGAATGTTGTGTGTGTGGTCTGCGTGTAGCCACCATTGTCTGGGATCCGAGCTCTTGAGTGGTGACAGGTTTTTCTCTCATATTGTTACAGTCTTCCACTTTAGCCATTTGATTGTGGTAGGTCAAGTAATTATCAAGAGAAAGTGTCAAGCCAATATGATTATACAGTCTAGGACTTGGAAGGGATATGAGGATAAGGTACTGGGTTATGAAGACGAAGGGAAGAGAAGCCCTCTCAGAAAAACGCATGCACTACTTTATTAACATTTGAGTTTTTAAATTTAGGTTTATCGTGTAGTCTCTTGGTCCAAAATTGATGAATTTAATTCAGTTTGTATATCTAGATTTGTCACAGTTTTTTAAGCAGGGATAACAACTCTTTCATAAAAAGAGTTAAATGTATATTGTTTTGGATGGGAAAATAAATTTATATACAATAAAGTATTAAAGTTGAATAAACCATATTTGCCAGAAAATAGGATGTATTCATAATTATGAATTAAACCAAACTACGTTCTATTTTCCAGCAAATATGGTACATTCAACTTTTATACTTTAATTATTCTACTACTGATATTGTACTTAAGCGAAAGAATGTGGTAATTTTAAGAGCTGCTCTTTAAAATCACTTTCAATAAATGTTTAATAACAAAACATATGAATCCCTTTGGCGCCCTGATGATGCTCTCGGCATCATCAAACCAATACATGCAGTTCGGGGGATGATGCTCTCGGCATTATCAAACCAATACATGCAGTTCGGGGGATGATGCTCTCGGCATTATCAAACCAATACATGCAGTTCGGGGGATGACGCTCTCGGCATCATCAAACCAATACATGCAGTTCGGGGGATGATGCTCTCGGCATTATCAAACCAATACATGCAGTTCGGGGGATGACGCTCTCGGCATCATCAAACCAATACATGCAGTTCGGGGGATGATGCTCTCGGCATTATCAAACCAATACATGCAGTTCGGGGGATGACGCTCTCGGCATCATCAAACCAATACATGCAGTTCGGGGGATGACGCTCTCGGCATCATCAAACCAATACATGCAGTTCGGGGGATGATGCTCTCGGCGTTATGCATTAATTTTTGCTTATTCTTATTAAGTATAAACATTGCGAGTGAAAGAGTTTAACATTGGGTTGTGTACTCACCGGCAACGCCCGGCCTACCTTGCGGTGCGATGCGGGTGACCCGCCGGGCGAGCAAAAAAGAAAATTTCACAAAATGTCCTTGTAAAATAGAGGTGCTTGTTAAGCTGTGGTGTTTCTTGTATGCTGGCTAATGTAATATTTTAATTATACTTCATTATAGTGTACTCTAGCAACTGTAGGTCTACATTAAAATGCAGAATGAGCAGCTAGTGTTATAACTAGTTGCTGGTATCATCATTTTGGCTTCTTATGGATCACTATGATATCAGTGTTCTTAGGCTGTGTAAAAGGAGAGAGAAAACAGTTGTATGTGGAAAATGTTACACTGGACTGTACACTAATAATGGCATGTCCACAAGAATTAGCACAAGACATGTTTCAATCATCATAAGAAGCATACTACATTGGCTGTTGTTTGTTATTCTACAGTATACTGTATTGACTTCTGTATTGGCTATTGTATAGTATATTGTATTGGCTACTGTACAGTATGCTGTATATACTACTGTATTGGCTGCTATATATGACAAGGATGAACATTTACATGTATTGATAGTAGTCTTCCATTAGTTTAAGTTTTTTAATAAAAAAACATATTTAATATTGAGATAATGGGTGATATTAATGTAAGAATTACCCGAGTGTCAAGCAACAAGAAGTTAGTGTGACAGGAAGGACACCAGCACACCAGAAGGATAACGTGATATACGCAATGGAAAGGTACAGTTATGTTACATCTTAAGGGGAAATATAATAAACAAGAATTGATTGTTTAAACAGGGTTGACGGGATATTTCGTATGTGTGAGTAGATCTTAGGAGTTGGGGAGGGAAGGTGGGGGAAGAATGCAATAGAGATGTAAGGTTAGATCAATAATATCCATACAGTATTTCATTAGGCCTTAGGCTCCATTAGTAGCTCCCTGAATCGGGTTAAAAGTCTATTGCGATTAGTTTCCATGTACAGTATTTGGGAAAAAACTGAGCTATAGCAGTAGTTGTAATAAATTATAATTAAAAAAGGGTGTGACATTTGGACAAAAGTTTGTGATGAAACATTATCGATGTTTGGCAATTATATTTATATGTCTAATACTCTTTCACAGCTTTAGTTGCAATCTGCCGTTTCCTTTTGTGCTAATTTAGGGTTAAGACCTAATTGGTTCAAAAAACTTTTAAGAGCCTTTACCTAGTTTAATTATGTTGAAGCTTGTATACATTCATACACAGTATAGAAGCATGGAACAAAAATGTCTTCTGTAGATAGGACCCCATTGCCCGAGGTTTCTCTTGACAACGTTGGTGACTTGGAGGAAATATGCATAAGAGTGTCCTGAGCTACAGAAAAAATCTATATACTATTATTTCCACAGCCGTCTTTGTGGGTTTAACAATATGTAAATATACTGAAAGCATTCTGTAGAATAAAGCATATATGCTCCCTTTATGCAGTAATGTGACACGCATGTACAAATATGTTGATTTCAATCTCTGCGAT